CATTTTATGTATTGGAAGCATGAATGGGGTGCGTGTGTGATCCTTTACTGTACTTTTTGCCTTTTGTTCTGCTTCTCATTTCAGCTCCCTTCGGCTTCTATTTTGCTGGCTAGCTTTTTTCTGCTTTTTTAGCTGCTATTTGCTGATTTCAACATTTTTGTGCTTTTCTCAGCTTCTTTCTGCCATTTTAAGCATTTTAGGACTTTTTAGCTGCTTTCTGCTAGTTTCAGCTGTTTTTAGTGCTTTCAGCTAATTTAAGACTAATTTAGCCTTTTTGTGATGATTTCAGCTTTTCACTTGTGCTTTTTCTGTTTCTCTGTGCTAATTTCAGCTATTTCATCCAGTTTTTGTCACTATTTTTAGGTTAGTTGAAACTTTTTTAGCTTTTCAGCAAAACTCTTCCAGCATTAAGCGTTCACCCTGCGTTTTCACAGGAAATGCAGATTCTCTAATGTTCGTGGTTTCAAATAGCCAAAAACTAGGAGACAGCTTACACACTGTGGAGCAGCTTGGAGAAAAGTTCGTTTTGTCGCAAGAAAAACATTCAGATTCTTAAGCACATGCTAAACGATCATAAGAGGCCCACTAAATTGTTTTTTTTTCTGAGAAATAAATGAATTTTAGCCAATAAAAAGCTAACAGCAACACACTGTCACTATGATTCCTATCATAAATACACAAAATCTTAATGATTATGAAAAACATTTTGTAACCAACTCATGGAGAAAAGACAGAAGTGGTTGCATTTTTCTTTGACAGTTTGTCAGAGACTTTACTTCAGCAGATCCTTACGAATGAAGACTAATGGCTGATGGTAATTACATTTAATGAGGTCGTCAGCTGGGTGCACTTCTGCAAATTGCTCCCAGCTTGTGGTCTGAAAGGACAGAGTAGGGGGCAAGCACTGCGGTAAAAGTCGGGGCCTGTAAATGTTTAAGGGGCCAGGACCCTCAGTGACAGTCCTTGTCACTAGTGAGCAGTGAAACGTGTCGTACATTTGTTTGCTTTTGTCCTCCCTGTTTGTTTGTCTGGCGGAGATAAGCACACAGAAGGTGACGCTTGTCTCGGCTCTATTGTCAGTCATGTCGTACCCCCAGCTCCCATCGGTCCCCGCTCAGTGACTGGTCATTTTGCTACTATTTTCCAGCCRCAGGGGGTAACTCAAGCAATTTAGCTAATCCATTAAAAACTAATTGTCTCCTCCTACCCTGTTGTTTGGGACAAACAGCTTGGTGGAGAGGAGGGGGACGTTGAGCCCTGTTGACCTATAAAAGCCAGTGTGTCACTGGATGCATCCCATCAGTCTGGAGTTTTTAAACTTTGACTGCGACGTCGTTCTTTTTGCTCAGAGCCACTGCCTTTTGAGTTCCCCCTCGCTTTATTTGTGGTTTGGAGATGTTCTGGAAGGGGAGCCTGGTTTGCCTGTTTTTGTGCTTCTCTTGGACCGAAGCTCGTATTTGGGCCTGGATGCTCAACATGCCTCACAGCCCTCCCAAAGAAGGAGCTAAAGAAATTAGAGAGAGCGCTCCTGACGCTAAAGCACTCCCGGTAAGAAGCTGAACGCTTTGATTGATTATTAATCTTGTTTTCATCTCGATAACAGATTTAATTCACTGTTTCCTCCAGGCTGTGTGCGACCACGACAAAGCTTGTGGACGTGGTTTCTCCTGCGATCGCCACTTTGGTCTTTGTGTGCCTTTACGCGGGGAGGGCCACTACTGCCGGAGGGAAGCGCAGTGCGTCCGTGGACTCAGCTGCATGTTTGGAAAGTGTCATCGCAGCATCCCCAATGGGCAAGAGGGTGAGCGGGCTGCTTTAACCCTTTAAAGCCTAATCCTTTAAAAAATAATCAGAAAATTCACATTTTGTAGAACTGACACGTTTATTGGGCCTTTAAACAAAATCCAATTATTTTTTTGCCACATCACTTTGTTTATGATATATTTTTTGTATCAAATCTGATACACTGGACTGTTTTGGTGACATTTTGCTCACAACAAAGTTAAATAACGAAACAAAAGACAGTTTTGTCCATAACTTTTAACAAGAACACTCTAGGAAGTTTACTTCTTTGTTTTTTTACAATGAAGTTTTTACAGCCATTTATTTCACTTCGTGGTAAGCACAAAAACAGTTTCTGTCCATGTTCAGGCACAGATGTACCTTACACTTTAAAAAAAATTACCATCTATTATCATATTGATGACATTTTCTTTCTTTTTTTCCACTCTTCTTCCTCAATTCTCTTCGACATCTAACATGTAAATAATTAGTCAGTACAGCATAGAGGTTATAATTTCAGAGGAACCACTTTGAAAATAGCCAAAATGTGTTTTCAAATGGCATTTCASTAATTAATCAATCATCCAAAATAGTGTGTGGTTGTATTGTGGCAAGAATACTGTTGATTAAATTACTAAAATGTCACATGACAATACAGGACCTTATATACCTGCAGTATCAAGTTTGATAAACAAATTTTTAACACAGTTTAACTGTACTATTAAAATATTTTTAAGTAATTATGTATTGTTTCAACACAGAAAGTATTTAATAAAATATTACAAATAATATTGATGTTATTCTTACCATAACTTCTCCAAAATTAGCAAAAGTTTTCCTGGAAAAAAATGTGTGAATGACCTGTCAGCAGACATTTTGAAAAGGCAAAAAAATAATAATAAAAAATAAAAAATAAAATAAAAAATAAGAAGTTCCACTTCCTGCAGTACATTGTTATTCCACTAGAGGGCAGAATACAGGTCTCACACGATATACAACAGGGTTTTGAGGAAAACATTGATCACATTGATAAAATATAGGTCTGTTTTTGTCGACACAAAGAATAAACCTCTTGTTTTCTCCCAATCAGGCGCCAGGTGTAAAGCTGACAGAGAGTGTGAGGCTTCCATGTGCTGCGCCCGGCATCACGGTGAGCAAGTGTGCAAAAGGAGACTGGTTGGGGGCGAGAGCTGCTACGTTCCCGACGGCGGCCTGGCTTTCAGCATCAACCAGATTTGCCCGTGCGAAGAAGGCCTGGTGTGTCGTGAAAACGGTCGGCTGCACCGGAGAGAGTAAGAGCTCTGATTTAATCTCCAAAACCAAAACCTGAAGGTTGTTTTTACACCAGAAGTCACAAAAACTATTTAAGAATCTTATTGCTTCACGTTTACATTTTATCACAACTTAAAAGTTGAACAGCTAACTCAAATAAAAGTAGRAACTTCTCTTACAAATTCATTTTGATCACATAAATGACCTTAACACGGATCTGGGACTTTTCAGTGTAAGGGGCCATCAAGGGGCCACAGTTTTCTTAGAGGGGCCAAGTATTTGTTCAACATGCTTGCACACAAACCCCCAGTTCTTGTAAGGTGTATAAATTTAATCAGTCACACGTGTTCAGGCACTTGTAAAAGGTCAAACAGTAAATTCTCCTTATCAGTTTTACACACATTTTTACTGTACATAAATCTTAAACAAATGTGAGAAAATTCAGCCGTTGTTGTCAGTTAAAATACTTTTTCTGCAGGATTGTTCAGATTGAAACAGACTTGTGTAAGCTTTTTGACTCATTAGCACCACTACTGTTTGGAAGTGGAACTGCAGCCACTCTTGAGCAAAGGACAGATGAGTGACAGGACAGGGCACTTCAGGGGGCCAATCAGATTTCAGATGGGGCTAATGCCCCTGTGGCCCCGCCCCTAGAACCGCCCCTGCCTCAACAGAATTGTTCCCACCTCATTTGGCTTCGAATTCTTCCTGAACTTCTGTAAAACGAACAAACTTGAATCTGAAATGTTTCCAGGTGTGGTTTTCAAAAATTACAAATAATGTTGCATCATTCATCAGTTAGCACAGCTTCGGTTTGTCTTAATGAAATACAAGTAAAAGAAATAAGTTCTCCTAAAGTTGTTTTTTCGCAATAAATAAGATAAACTTTGATTTTATTTTATCCTACCTGCAGTTTCCATTAGAGTTTTAGTTTTTTCCCACCATGCTTTGCAACTTAAAGGCTCTCTTTTTATTTGAAAATACAAAAAAACTACAGAAATCAAAGCAAAACAAACTAATGATAAAGAAATTATTGTAATAAAGCATCCAACACCCGCATCCGAAAACAGTTAAAAGTCTTAAAAATTGTTTTCGTTCATTAGCGCTCCTCTAAAATAGGTTAGAAATATTATTCAAAATGTTTGGTTCTTTGTTTGTTTCGAAAGAATCTGATTTAATTATTTTTCTTTGTCTTTCAGGAGGGATTTTATTTATCATCCAGAAAGAACGAGTTGGACCTGCCAAGCCCCCAAACCTTAAAGCCCGGTCGTCCGTGTTGGAGTTATTTATTTTGTAAATATGTTTTATATGACAAAATTCATGTAGCATCATATATGTGGCTTTATAATTGCTACAGTTTTATTTTGTAAATTTAAACAAAGGCACTGCTCTGAAATATTTTGTCTGTTTCTCTCGGATTTTAAGAATAAAAACAAGAAAACTTTTCAATGACTTTTCTACACAAAGTTAATTAAATTTAATTAACAAGACATAATTATGTTTCTGTTAATTGCAGCATAATGTAATAGTTGTAAAATAAATCATGGTTTGCTCTCTGCAGTAGTTGAAAAATGAGATTGATCAACATCAAACCTGAACTAACATAAAGCATCTAAATTTTTTAATAAATCTTCTCTCTGAAATTCTAAAGAAATTTTTACCAAGTTTATGATAAAAATCCATGGAATAATGGATCAAAGTGCAGCGGAGGAAACGCTTTGTGTCTGCGAGGGTGAAACCAGGTGCACAGGTGTGAAAAGTTTGAAAGGTTTACCTCGAACCTCAGTGTTCTGTTGAAGTGTTTGTAAAACCTGTAAAAGTGCACAAAAACAGATTAGATCACACAGGAAGGAACAGATTGTCTCCAGAGCTCGAACCAAAACAGATTTTATAGAAAGGAAAAAAAGTTTCTCATGTTTACAAATTGTCTGACGTGAATAATGGAGAAACCCTTTAGATTTATTTGGACACATTTTGGAGCTAAAAGTACAAAAGGATAAGCTTCAGGTGAATACTAAAGCCTTGACCAGCAGATTTAAAATGGACCAAAAACGTGTTATTAGTGTGTCAGCTGCAGTTTTGTCTACACAATAGGACTTGAAGCTGAAACAAAAAAGGGATGCGGTTTCCTTTTATCTCTGAGGACAACAGATACTGTGTGCCTCTCTCTCACGGAGGATTTGCATGAGACGGAGGAATCCTGCGACTCCTTATTGTGAGCATCTACAGATGCTGAAATGCTAGCTGTCCCTCGACCCGCTCTTAGATCCATATCTCCCTTCAGTCTCTTACCGATCCTCCCTTCGCTTCTTTTAGATGCTAATTCTCTGCCGTTTGGCCTTTCAGGTGCAAGTTTACTGAGTTGAGTTATTCTGTAAAGGACATCAGTGTCTCATTTCTTTTTGCTTTCATTTTTCTCCACATTTGTTCAAGAATGATGAGATGAATGCCAAACTCTTTTTCTCACGTACTAAAGGATGTGGCCTTGTCTTGAGCAAGTATCGGCGGCTATTGAACAAACACAATCTGGAAAAATGTGAAAAAAATATGAGAATTTAACTGAACTTACCTTGAGATGGAGACGTGGTCATAAAAAGTCCAGACATTTTTTTAGCCCAACAAAAACAGCCCCCATGTCTGGTGTAAAAAAAGGCCGGTTGGAAGGCACGTTTCACACGCCTGAGAAAGGACGACGAGACAAAAGTGATATCTAATGACACAAGACTGAGGAACCTGAGAGTATTCAGGGGGCTCTCACTGCCACTCTGGGACCCTGGAGGCTATTTAGACTCAGCTGTATCTGCGTTGCCATCACATTTTAAAGAACCCACGCAGGTATGCTCTGTTTGGTGCCCAAGATGGTTTACATAAAGAAAATACATTAATAATCAAAATAAAATGAACCATAGCGGTCTGTTTTTTATTTAACTATGTTAATAGGTAGGGGTCGACCGATACATCAGCCGGCCGATATTTTTGGCCGATATTTACGTTTTTTCTTTGTATCGGCCGATACACTGTCCGTTCGGCCGATCCGTTCTTTGGGTCACGTGAGCGCATGTGTCCGCCCCTCCCCCCGGGGAGAGCGCAGCAGCTAATGTTGTGAGACAGCGTGGTTCTTATTTGTATATTAATAAGAATAATATATTTTTTTACATAAAATGACTATTCTTTAATATCCCAGCATTTTTGATGCAAAAACAGCAACAAGCCTAAATAAAACTGTCAGAGCAACACAGAGAAAAAGAAGAGACACACATACATCTTGCTATATTTGTGAGGACTTCACACACACAGCGCTCACAGCATCTCTGCCTCAGTCTGCTGCTCCCGTTTTTAACACCAGGCAAAAAATGCATTTAAACCAGCTGACGTTAACTTTAGATCAAAGTTTGAAATGTACACCGAAGAGAACCAGCATCACGACTGCGGTCACAGCAAACGGGATGTGAGCAGTGTCTGGTTCACATGATGGTGGACGGCTGCACTCGCTAAAACGTTCAGCGAGAAAAGACCGAAAGCTTTTTTATTTTAATCCAGCAGGGAGAACAATAGAGGTGTTTTTCTATGCCTCCTGTGAGCAGCTCCAGCATTTTTAAAAACAAAAACAACGCGGACACGCTGATTACAGTGCGGGGCGAAAGTGAAAGTAAAACATGTCGCAGCGCTCCCGTCTAGAAAAGAAACTTAAACACAGCTGTTCTCTCTTCCCTCATATTCAGACACAGAGGGTAGAAACAGCTAAATTAGACAGTTAAAACATATTTATAGTTCATAACTCACCCTTGTTGTTGTTATCATTCTTATTTTTTATCATGTTAATGGAGGAAGAAAAAGTAGTATCGGCTTCAAGAATCGGCCAAAAAATATCGGCTGCACGTATCTGTGTATCGGTTAGACTGATGTTTAAACAATCGGTATCGTATCGGCCTTCAAAAACCTGTATCGGTCGATCTCTATTAATAGGTGATTACTTTCTTTGAAAGTTAACATAAAAGGGAAAGTTTAAACTGAAACATCTCAAAACTGAGCTCCTTTTGAGGCAAACCTGTGGATTTTACTAACTGCAGCTAAAGTTAGCATCTAGACACAAGAAGCTATTAAAAACAATTAAAATATTAATATTAAGTTGAGGTTTTAGTATTTCTTAGTGTTCCATATCACCAGATCTCATCTGATCTTGTAAGCTAAGCAGTATTGGGCCTGGTTATTACTTGAATGGGAGACTGCCAAGATGTAAAACCAATGTAGGAGTTACACCCACATTGGAAAAACTAGTAGCTTTGACCAAATTAGGTCATGGGTTGCCTTCTAAAATAGATTATATATATA